CACCACAACACCCGACTATTTTATTTTGTTTGTTTTTAGCAGGCCTAGGCTGGGTTGGAACCCACCAACTCTGATGCATGTGGCCAGTGCCCTAACCACTGAACATGGGTGCCCTGACACTACATCTTTTAAAAAGTGATAGGATCTCACTATATTGCTGAAGTTCGTCCTGAATTCCTGGGCTCAAGCAATCCTCCTATCTCAGCCTCCCAAGTAGCTGAGATTGCAGTTATGTACTCCTGTGTTTAGCTCTTGATGTGTTCTTTTTTCTTTTTCTCTCTCTTTTTTTAAATACTCATTTCCCTAGGTAGAGTGCTATAGCATCGTAGCTCATAGCAACCTCAAATTCCTATGGTTGAGCAATCCTCTTGCCTCAGCCTCCTAAGTAGCTGGGCCTACAGGCATGCACCACTACACCTTCTATTTTTAATAGAGATGGGGTCTTGCTCTAGGTCAAGCTGGTCTTGAACTCCTGACTCAAGCAATCTACCCACCTAAGCCTCCCATAGTACTATGATTACATGTGTGAGCTACCGTTCCTTGCCTTATTAATTTTTTATTTCCACATTTCACTTGTTTCTCTTTTTGGATAAAATATATATTAAAAACTAGTTAATGGTAAAACATGTTTAGATAGGACTTATATGCTTTCTTCTCAAATGGCCATGTGAGAATCAATGAGGGTATTTAGAGAGATCTTGAATGTCTTACGTATTGTTACTGACCTCAGAGTCTATTCTTGGCATTATAATTCTTTGTGGAGCTGCACCTGCTGCTTGCAAAACATTTACTATGAACACATGACAGGTAATTTAGAAAGCTATTCCTAGGCTGGGCGTGGTGGCTCATGCCTATAATCCTAGCATGCTGGGAGGCCTAGGCAGGTGGATTGCTTGAGCTCACAGGTTCAAGACTAGCCTGAGCCAGAAGAAGACTTTGTCTCTAAAAATAGCTGTGCGTTGTGGTAGGCACCTATAGTCCCCGCTCCTGGGGAGGCTGAGGCAAGAGAATCACTTGAGCCCAGGAATTTGAGGTTGCTGTGAGCTATGATGCCACGGTACTCTATTAAGGGCAATAAAGTGAGACTGTCTCAAAAAAAAAAAAAAATAGAAGGCTATTCCTGCCTAGGTGTGGTGGCTTACACTTGTAATCACAACAATTGGGGCTTGGCGCCTGTGGCTCAAGTGGCTAAGGCGCCAACCACATACACCTAAGGTGGTGGGTTTGAATCCAGCCCGGCCCCACCAAAACAACAATGACAGCTGCAACCAAAAAAAAAATAGCCAGGCATTGTGGTGGGCACCTGTGGTCCCAGCTACTTGGGAGGCGGAGGCAGGAGACTCGCTTCAGCCCAGAAGTTGGAGAGTTGGAGGTTGCTGTGAGCTGTAATGCCACGGCACTCTACCTAGGGGGACAGCTTGAGGCTCTGTCTCAAAAAAAAAAAAAAAAA